CAATGAAAAATCCTGGTAGGAAGGTACTTTGCTGGAAAAAGAATGTCTGCAACAGCAAGAAAGGATATAATACTATTAATGGGTAATTGGAACCCAAGAGTTGGAGAAATGGAGGAATCTGGAATTGCTGGAAGCTTTGGATTGGGTAAATATAGGAAACAGATTATGTTTCTAAAGATAATTATTTGTTTATTGCTAAGATTGATTCCAGCAATATAAATGCAGACTATAAAGGGACATCACTAGATAGTCAACCCTGGAATCAAGTCAGCTGCATAAAAGAAATGGAAAATAGAGAATTGCAATCCAGAGTACAGTTCGTGAAACATTAGAAAATTGAAGAGAGTAGGATTGCCAATAAGATACAACAGAACAGTGAGAATATAAAATCAATGTAAGGAACAGATTTAGGATGCTTAAGTTAATGCAAAAGGCAACCTGAGCAGCCATGGGGAGAGGTAGGAGACATCATGAAAATCAAAGGAGAAAAAAGAATCTCAAAATTTCAGAGAGGAAAAGATCCAAGTGGCTTTGGAACAAGTAATTAGGATGGTCAGGGAAAAATGGAAGATGAAAGCTTTGCAATGTAAGAACATATGGTGACTGAATGCAATCACTGTCAGTGTCAAAGAAGGACTAGGAATGATATCTCAAAAATGTAAAAAAAATGAGGAATAAGAAAAATCCAATATTTTAAAGATCAGAAAAATCACAGAAAATTTGCTGTAAAATAATCATACTCGAGAAGAATCATGGAAGAGATATGATATAGACAAGTGAGATTAGAAGAAAATGGAAAGACTAGTTAAACCCTTTACAAATTAGGTTTGTAAATACATATAAAAACACATTTGCAGAGAGAAATGATTACTCAGAAACGGATTCTTCTACAAAGTAATATGCAACAGGCAACGGACAAGCAGTCAACTAGGAAGGCACCAGGCACAGATGAAATGCCCATAGAACTATTTATAGCTGTAGCAGAGGAGACAGTTAAAATCCTGACAAACATTAAAAATATGAATTCTATGGCCTGGAGATTGGAAAAGACTGGTGTGTATATATACTTATGCCAAGAAAGAGAGAGGCAGGAAAATGTACAAATTACTGAACCATTAAACTAATTCCTAATGCAACGGAATTAATAGGTATGATTAATTCCTCGTGCATAAATAATACTTACAGAGAGGAATGCCAAATGAACAGGAAGGTTCTAGAAAAGACAGAGATACATAAGATCAGGTATTTAACATAAGGGGGATAATGAAGAGGCAAGAGAATACAAGAAGGAGCTTTATCTTTGTTTCACTGACCACACAAGGCCTCTGACTTTCAGCAGGGAGTTTTATTTTCTTCGGCTTTAAATACACATAAAGATGGATGGCGTTCTGAAGAAGTAAAGAGATTAATCCTAGAAAGGCAATGACAAACTTAGGCAAGATCATGAACATTTCTATGTCAACAAATACCACTTTTTAAAAATCATTCTGCTCTAAAAGCTGGACATTGACAAAGAGCCAGAGAATGATGCCTTTGAATTATGGATTTGGAGACAGTTATTATGAGGACTATGGAGTGCAAGAAGAATGATAAATCAGCCCTTGACCATATAAAGACTGACTGCTCCCTTGAGGCAATGATCAGCAAGCAGAAACTCCCACATTAAATGTGATACAGGCAAATGAACTTGGAAAAAAACGATGATACTTAGTAAGGTCTATTTATTTATTTACTTGCTTACTTACAAGCCTTAACTGACTTCAGGCAGCATACATCTCTTCAAATCCAAAGTCAAAAATTAAAACTAGGATCATATATTATAATGGCTGACAAAAATATAGGTAGCGTTCGGCTTAAGTCCATTCATTCAGCGACCATTCAAAATTACGCTGAAAAAGATGGATGTATGACCGGTCCTTGAGGTTTCGGCCATTGCAGCACCCCATGGTCACGTGATCACGATCCAGGCACTTGGGTGCCCGGCTCGTGATGATGACATAGCAGGGAGCCACAGTCGCATTTTCTGCTGGCTTCCCACAAGGAAAGTCAATGGGGAAGCTGGCAGGGAAGGTTGCAAGTCGCTCTGGTTAGGTTGCTCCTGCCTGCAGCACACCCATATGCAGCCTCCAGTGGCTCTCCCAGGCCCTCTCTAGCCTCCCCACCCCCCTGCAGCACCCCTGCATGCCTTACCTGGGATTCCCACCGCTTCCCGCTTAACAACCCACATGACTTGGGGTTATGATGGCAACTGGGACTGCCAGGATTGCCATCACTAAGCGACACAGTCAGGTGACAAAGTGCTTTATGACCGCATTGCTTAGTGACAGCAATTCCGGTCCCAATTATTGTCATAACCTGAGGACTACCTATAGAGGGAACAAAGAGATTACTCCAAAGTCTTTTGAAGAACAAAGAGTTATTGCTAAAGACAGACCAAGATAGTTAGCATTTGTCAACAAAGTCATTAATCCGGACTCAGTGGTACCTAGCCTACCATGCAGAGAAACCAGTTTGGGAAAAGGCTATCTAAAGTATTGTATAAAGGAAGTGGTGGATTTCAAAATAATGTAAACTGTAATGCAGCAGTATTTTGAAGCCAGATACTAATTCCTTTTTCTTCCTTCCCTACCCCTCATTCCTCCTGGGTTGCGCATTTAGATAGTAAGCTTCAAGGCGAGGACTACCCTGGTTTTAAATAAAACAAACAAACTGTAAACTGCTTTGGGAAAGTGAATAAACGCTTCAAATAAATATTAAGAAGTTCTTAAATCCCTGCTCCTTGCTGGACTGTCCTTTTTAAAATAAAGCAGCTATGGATGATCAGAGAAGAATACTTTCAACAAAATTTTATAGCATTTTTTCAATTTAGCCTTCCAGCCATGTCTCCTTTCAGAATGCAATAAGCTATTAGGTGCAAAAATGTATTTCATTTTTTTGTTTCTTGAGTTTTTTCCCCACTTGCAGCCAACGTTTTATAACTTATGTTCATCTTAATTTTCTTTGGGCTGTTTTTCTGATTGGGGTGGAGTGAGATGGGATTATCATTAGGCTGAGTCATTTTTCATTTTTATATTTCTGCAAACCTTGAGGGTATCTAAATCAAGTGATGCCTCCCATTTGTTTTTCAGTAGCCTATTTTGGCTTGTTCCTGAGGAATTCATAAACTCTGCTGGCTACTGACGCAATTAACAGTATTCCATCTGCATTATTCATATGTCTGGAAATGACTTATAAGACATTACTCTGACAGTTAGACAAACTTTTCATGTGCCTCCTTTTATGATATCAGAATTTTTTAAAAAAAATCTGTGCTCCAGGCCATAGACTTCCAATTCTTTATTGCAAAACTAACTTGATTAACTTCAAACAGAGTTTCAGGTTATGCGGTTTGAGGGTGGAGCCCCAGATTGCATTATTTTTAACAGGGGAAAGTTCAGTTGAAATGCTGGCTGTAACTTTTTTATAAATGTATTTTGTATTGCTGTACATGGACTGTTATCTGCAAATGGAGACCTGAATGGACTTGGGACTATATCTAGATTTGCCACAAGCAAAATCTCTCTAGCCAAGGCCTCATTTACTAATCAGCTGACTCACAGGAGTATAAAATGAATAGGTTATTTCATCAACAGATAAGTGAAAGCTGGGATCCACCCAGCCCAAGATTTAGGACTATTACAAGCCAAGGAAATGCAGCTTCAACAATCACACAGCGCAAAGTTAAGTGTACTTCATAATAGCAGGATCTCACAACGAGCTAAAATTCTGCTCTAAATACATGCTTTACAATAATCATGGCATGTGAATGATCAGGACTTCTAGTATACTTCTCTAATTAGTCTATAACTATGACTGTAGATGGAAACCACAACTTATACATGATGACCAGTTTTGGAAGTTTGTATCTTAAAATGAGGTTGGAGAACATGTAGACTGTAAGCTGTTAATAACTACCTCTCTCCCATCCTGCCTCCCCAGCAGCACCAGGCCAACATGTCCAGTGGTAAGTGATAGCTGGGGGTATAATTTGGCCAGAGAGTTCCCACCTGCTCTGAAACAAAGCTCACGAAGCGTATCAGGAAATGGTATCTTTTGCAGATTTCTATCTTTAAGAAACGATGCCTTTCAGGGTAGCTCCAGAATTCCTCACTGTACCACATCTTCATGATGCTGTTCACCAGACCCCTCAAGATGCTATCATTCAGTCATATTTTTCACAAATGCAATGTGTGCATGGTTATGTTTATATGTATTGTTTAATTTCTTAATTCAACATCTTTATTTTTTATTATTTAAATGTTTCCTACTGTAACCAAGAATGAAAAACAATAGTATGAACATTCTATAAATAAAATAAATATACCTGCAATAAATAAAACTTTTAGGGGTAAGTAAGTGACATTTCTCTACAGGAATAGTTTTCTTAGAAGCTGGACATAACAATGGGAGAAGATCAATTTCTCTTGCTATCAGTGTTCTTCTGATCACAGGTTTGATTATTGCTATCACAAAGACCACAGCAACTCATCTCTGATAGGCTATTTTCAAAGTATGAAAGACTTGAAGATATAGTAGAGAACAAATAAACTTAGGACAGGGATCACTGAAAAACCATCCACAAAGAACTGAACATTCTCAGTGACTAGAGAATCCTGAATGGTAAAAGTGGTCCTGGATTACTAAAATGCTATACAGTCATATTTAAATGCAACTAATTGTTGCAGAGCCCACTGGTAACATCTTGTTCCATCCCGAAGATGATTTTTTTTGTTGTTTATCTTTTATACCCTACTGCTCAGTCTTAAATCTTGCTGCGTCAGCATCAAATCCAGCCTGCCCATATGTTCAAGAAACAAGATCCAAATACCAGTACTGCAGGCGTATTATAAGGTTGCCATAGGGACATGCGAAACCTAGAACCTAAGAGGCAGGCATTTCATAGTTACTCTCAATAAAAAAATCTGAAAAGCATAATGTTAAAAATTAAATCAGAAAAAATACAAAGTTCAAAGGTTTTATTCTGTGTAAAATATGAGCAAAGCAAGAATTGAATTGGATTAATAATTAGGCATCAACAACAATTCTTACAACCCTGAAATTATTACACAATGATTTACTGTATTTATATATCACATTCACAGAAAGGTCAACATGCAGACAGATACAACATCATTTCAAACGAGAGATTTCTTATCACTTGCTTTGACAAGTACAGTACATCTTGAAATTCTAAGATATGTTGTTCTTCTGTCAGGTTCTCAGTAAAAGAAAAAAATCTAAAAGAGAAGCAAAAAAGAAGCAACGTGAGATGACTGCCATTTAATGGTACATGCTTAACACTGTCAGCAAATTTGTCACAGCAGTGTGTTTCACACAGGTTTGGGGTGGGACAAGTTACCTCTTTTCTTTACTTGCTTGTTACCACTTTTCTTTAGGTGTAAACAAGCAATCAGGAGATCTGGATTTTATCTCCAGGTTAAAATGTAAGCTCCTGGAAGAGTGTTCAGTTGATCAGACAGCTGCAGTGCTGAAGGACACTGCCAGCAGCAGGCAAGTAGGCGAAGCAGGAAAAAGGTCACAAAAATCTTCCCCAGGGTTCTCCTTCCCTCCTACTTGCAGCAACGAGAAGGATACTTCCAGAACACAGCCACACAGCCTGGAAGACCCACACCAGCCATCGAGAAGGATACTGTTTTAGCCAAACAATGGATTTAAATTTCCCTTGGAGGAATGGACAAAATTGGGGAGGGGGCAACATCACTGCAATCTCATGCCCTTCCACTGTCACCATCCCTTTTGGGGGCTTTCCAAGACTAGGATTCCTGAACCTTGATTTTGCCAGCAGCAGAAGCTGGCAGGAAGGTGCTGACTCCATAGTAGGTTCTCTGCCTTTGTTTGGGAACGTTTGCAGAGTCAGACAACACCAAGGGCCTTTGGGACAATGTTCCAGCAGCCATCGATGGTGTTTTTCAAGGAGCTGTAGCTATCTTTCCATAAGATAACAAAAATGACCTCTCAAAAATGTAAAAGTTTCTAGTAGACTATTTCACATTCATCTGAGACTAAACTGTTATCAGGTTTAATAGAACATATTTCTGATTAGGCACATGCAAAAAAATACTGCAAAGAGGAAAATAATGTACTCTAAATGCACCTTAACGGTATGAGATAGTGTTTAAGAGCCACCTAATACAGACATACCTCAGCAACTTTGGACATTTGGAAATACAGAGTAAACAAGAAGGATTGTCATTTTAGTTCCTGCATTCTGTGTGTCATTCTCTAACAGTGTTCCTCAACCTTGGCAGCTTGAAGATATGTGGACTGCATGGCTGGCTGGGGAATTCTGGGAGTTGAAGTCCACACATCTTCAAGCTGCCAAGGTTGAGAAACACTGCTCTAACATACCCGAAACAAACCAACTCAACACCTTATGCAGAGAGCTGCATAAACTGCATTAGAAGCACTCAAATTTCACCACATGGAGGGTGGGAGAATGAAATGTTAAAGTAGAATGCAGAGGATATACATTTCACATCCTTGCTATTATCTCTTTGAATATCTGAAGATTGGAACTACCTTTAGAAAGCTTTGGTTAATATCTAACCAGCATGTGCCTTCTTGTAACTCAAGACCAGTATACCATATCCCAAATTCTGAGACAGCACAGAATGGCTCTTGACCTCCTTCTGACATCCCTTCAGGTATTTTAAGACTATAATATCCCTCCTCATTCTTCTCAAGGCTAAACATACTCAGTTCCCATAATCTCTCTTTGTTGGACTTACATTTCCAGTCTCTTGATCATCCTCAGAGTCATTCTTTGCACTTGTTCCATTTCTCTGAATTCTTAAAGTGGGGTGCTCAAAACTGAGCACAGAACATAAGTCTGAATCTGATCAATGCAAAAAGAATGAACTATTCACTTCCAGTGATCTTGAAAGTTTATTGTTGAATCCTAAAATTGCATCTGCCATTTTTGGTGCCGTATTACACAGTTGATTCATATTGTGAGCCATTACAGGTAGTTCACGGGTTATGATGGCAGTTGGGACTGGAATTTCTGTTGCTAAGCAACACGGTCATAAAGCGTGATGTCACATGATCACATTGCTTAGCGACGGCAATCCCAGCAGTCCCCATTGCTGTCGTTAAGTGATGATTCCGGGTCAGTAAGCGAGGACCTCATGTAACCGCGACCTGGGACTTCCTGCCAGCTTCTAACAGGCAAAGTCAATGGGGTAGCCAGCAGGAAGTTGCAAATGTCGATCATAAGCTTTTCCTTAGGCGGCTCGCAAGCAGGCCGGCAGGTGCGTGAGTGCTACAGAGTGTGGGCAGGTGGGGGGGGGTGCTGCGGCATGGTGGGAGTGCAGGTGGGTGGGTGCTGTGGCATCAGTGCAGGCAGGTGAGGGGTGGGTGCTACAGCCCACAGTGGGCCCGGAAGGGTTGCTGTCTGCCTGGGGCCTGCACTCACTATGCCACCTAGGAGCTCTGTGGAGAAAAAGCGGTGGGAGGAGTGACTTACTAGAGCAACTTGGGACCCTCCTGTCGGCTTCCTCATTCACTTTGCTTTTGGGAAGCTGGCAGGGAAGGTCAGAAATGGCAATCACATGACTGTGGAACTGTCAGGCCCAGCCCAAGAACAATGATGAAACAGTCCAGTTGAGTATAGTTCCTTTATTTGCTTACACCTTATAGACAGAACCTTGCCAAACTAAATCTGTACTGCAGCAACTAGTGGATATACCATGAGATTCTAGGGAGTGGCAACCCTGAATCTCTTATTCTTCCCACACTTCCCCTGCAGACTGTGTTGTCTTTTGTCTCCTTTCCCCTGCTGGAATGCACCCCCCCTTCCTGATAGCCTTGATCTCCCACATCACTCTCCTTCTCGTAGATACATCACAGGAACGCTGCAACTGTCGTAAGTGCGGGCCAGTTGCCAAGTGCCTGAATCACGATGATGTGACCGCAGGGATGGTGTGATGGTAGCAACTTCATGGACTGCTTGTAAGTCACCATCATTCAGCGCCATTTTAACTTTGAATGGTTGCTGAACAAGTGGTCGTAACTCAAGGACTACCTGTACAATTCCAAAACTTCCAAGACACCAATTATAATATTGTCTTCTAATTAAACAATTGGTTCATCTAGCTCAATGTTGCCTATGTTGCATATCACTGGCTCCCTTGTGTCTCATCATCATCTTAATGTCAAAGTCTGAATTTTCTACATGCAAAGCTTATGAGCAACCACTCAATCTCATTGCCATTTCTGCTTTACTTCCAGCACCAAACAGGACTGTGATAGGGCCACAGGCAACCAACCCAAATTACACTCACACATATTGGGCAAACTGTATACATTTAGAAGTCTATGGGATTCTTACATATCAATCATCAGCAGCAGCACAATACCACCACTTTGGTAAAGAAAATACTACCCATAAGCAAAGTATACTTAGGAGAGTAATTAAATGTGGATAATTAAAATGAGTACAGTATCAAGAAGTTGACACTTGAATTTGAAACTTTCTCAGTAATTTTTGTTAACATGAACATTAGAAAAAGAGAGTATTTAATTTTCCCTAGGGGTCCTCAGTCATTCCCTCCCCCTGCCCCACTCCCAAACACACACTGTTAGAAAAAAGCACCAGTAATAAAGATCTTATTTCTTTGATGGATGAAATCTTTCTGTAAGAAAACCTGAGATAGTATAAAAGGCTTTCAGAAATAATTTGTCTTGCAATAATAACAAAATTGGGTCTCCCTCACTCAGAATTGTCAGCACTGACTGAAAACTTTCCAAGGCTTCATAAAGCCCAACCCCAAAATTTTGATTACTGATTGCTTCTGCCACCTTCTGCTTGTCAAACACACATTCCACTACTGAGTTAAATCCTGTAAAATACAGATATGCAAAAGGCACATATTCCAGAGCAACTCCTTTTAGGAGGACCATTTGCGTCCATGCAAATGCAACCGATGTCTTCCAAGGTACAGCAGGCAGATTATAACAGGTGGCAGACTGGCTTGTCTGCAGACGTAAACCTGTCTGCCACCTATCTGGCTTTGGAAGAACAAAACGTCTGACAAAAATATGTATGGGCTCTTCCCATTTCCTCATCAGCAGAACAGTCTGTCATAAGCAAACAGGCTAGTGTTTTCCCAAGTCATTTTCAAGTGATCTGTTTATCTTTTACGAAACTGAACTGCACAAAATAAGTTATGATTGTTCATGCTTATGAGAATGGATACCAGAAGGAAACAGAACTCCCTAACAGAGTTCATGTAGAACTTTCCTTTGTATAATAACCTTGTGCATCTGCTGTTTGACCAAACACCTTCCAATCAGTACCGTACAGATGTCTTCCCTCTGTAATGGGCTACTGGTGCAAGCAATTAAAGGAACACTTCTATTTGCATATATTTCTTGTTTCCCTAGATTATTTGCTTTGCCATCAAGCTGGAAGTAGAACATTTAAAAGACCTGCCTTGAGCATTTCCTCTTGTTGATTAAAAGGTGACTTACAAGACCGATGCTGCAATCCTCTACACATTTATCCAGAAATAAGCCCCCACTCAACACGGTATTCCTGGATAAGCATGCATAGGATTATACCAGAGTCCCTACTGAACCTAATAAAAATCATTTCCAAACAAGTTTGCATATGATTGGTTTTAACAACAGCTAAGAGAAGAAAATTAATTCCGAAAGAACTTAACCACATAACGCATTGCTGATTCAGGCAGTCGCTGTAAACAGAACCATGGAGACACTCTTTATTATGGAGTTCTTCTGGCCAGAGAAGAATATTCCTTGTGGTTTCGAGGATTTATTTACAGGCTAGACTTTAACCATTTAATAGGATGGGAAAGCAAAAGAAAGAAACAGAGCACTTCATCAGACTGTGCATTCAATACCCAAGGGATCTGAACCATGGGTATAAGTGGGCTAGAGTTTCATCCCATGAAATTCTGTGCAACAATATATCTCTGCTCACTTTACTATCCTCTTCCCACCCCTGCTGCCAAAGGCAGTCAGAGATAACACTGATTAAGCAGTATTAAGCATCTGAGTAGCCATAAAAACTTATTACTGCTGTTGTTCTTTAAGCTAAATGAGGTTTGGGAATACTGACTGATTACAGATGAATTGTTGGTTTCAGCAAGACTGAGCGGAACTGCATTAGCCATGGTAATAAATGTAATGATATGCAAAGCTGCCTCCAATACCCCTTTAATTCTCAACTTCAAGAAGAAATTCGGATTGGAAA